CTAAAGAAAAAAATTCCCAAAACAGTGAAGCTAGGACATTTTATGTACAACACAACTTTTGAGAGGTCACAAATCAACTATTCCATTAGGAGTGGAAAGAAAATGAAACATAGCAATCTAAAACTTGAAGCTTTATTTACTCATCACAAAGGGAGAAAAAAATGACTTTTCAAACTCTCCAAACACAATTTGGAGGTCTCTGAAAACACAAAGTAATACTGGGAACAGCTGTTTTAAACTTTACAATATAATGAACTATGGAGTTTGTGTAAGGCTTTACCAAACACTTTTCAATACACCGACTCATTAATCCATTGTGACAACCACCTGAGAAACTGTATGCAAGATGTTTTCTCCTTACATTAAACTAAGAGTGGTTCAGAAGTTGATCAAGGACACACAAATAAAAAGTAATGGCTGACAGACTAGATAGTCTGATTTCCAACTGATGCTCAGATGTGGCCCTCTCGAGAGGTATGATTTCTAATCTTTGCCCATCACTTCAACATCTTTATCTTTTAAGATTTACTCTCTCTCATTTGTATTAAGCACATTGATGTCCTACAAATGGAACACTACATCATGAGTTAAATCAAGTTTCCTATATCTCTCACACTCATGAGAACACTATAATCCTATTTATAACTTGTTTCTCTCGTCCTCGTTCCTCGCACATAACCATGCTCCCTATGGTCAGCAATGGGTACGAACAGGCTGCTTCAGCTATCTGAACAGCCTCGCTGATGGATGCCTTCCTTTATCTATAGTTGAATTTATAAATTTCACAGAGCTGGAACCACACAGTTCACATGACACTAAAACACAGAACATTGGAAGCGATTTCCTAGTGCAGATCCTCAGGGGCATAATACTAGGGTCAGGCTTATGAAATGCAATTATCCCTTGGCAGTACGATAACTATGGAAGGGATAGCAGATTCAGGTACATTTACACTGAAACTGGAAGTTACTGCTTTAAAAATCCTATAAAAAATATTAATCACTTGTCTTTTCTTGAAAGTAGTAGCTAAAAAAAAGAAAGGGAAAGAAAGAGAGGAAAGAAAGAAGAAAGAAAAGAAAAGAGAAAAGAAAAAGGTACTGGGTTATTGGATATTTATGGAATCCAGATAAATGAATGCCTACTTTAACAGTGGCTGGAATTTTCACTATTTCTAACAAAATTAGGAAGTTGTTGAAAATCCTTTTCCCAAATCAATTCTAAAATGCATTAGATTTAAATTAAATCCTCTAATCAGAAAACTATTTGACCATTTGCCACCAAAAGAATCTCTCTTGCTGTTTGTTTTAATCTTAAGCATATTCTTCCCAATTCGTGGGCTAATGTAGTGTTTTATATTTGGATTTTAGACCTTGATAGTAAAGCAATGATTTTAATCTTTCATTCTGCAGCTACATAACAAAAACTGAATGATGGTTTGGCTATATTATTTATCTGACACTTATGAAGTCATTTGAAAAGAACTGCCAAATGAACAAGTAAACATGGGTGTTAGGGGTCTTTTTTTTTCAACTCCCAATTAGTGATTTTTCATATTGCCTCCTATTTCTACTCCTTTATTACACTAATACAACCAACAAGCTGACTGCATTTTCAGCAATTCCTATAAATAATCATTTCAACCAAACAAGAAAATGTCACTTAAAGTTTCTGTCCATCAGTTTTCACTCTGACATGCAAACATTTAAAGTAACAACAAATAATGGGCTTACTTGGTCCACTCAAAGTGTGAAAGCAAAACTGAGTTACAGGTGACTTAGCACTGAAGTACCATTTAAGAGCTGAATCTAAGCATCTCCTACTGATGTGGAAAAAAGAAAACTGAACTAGGTGATCTAAAAAGCAATAGGACGCAGTTAATTGTGAATGTTTGGGAGTCGAAAGATTCTATAAGGCTATCTCCGGTATTGTAACGACTAGTCACAAGTAGCAGTTTAACATAATTAAAAGCACATAATTTCAAATGCAGTTACTCAGTCCTCACTAGCCACATTCCAACGCCCAGCAGCTTCCTGTGCCATATTGGATAGCACAGATACAGAACCATTTCCATCATCGAAGAAAATTCTATTATGCCATTGGTAGCTATGTGATCTTATGCAAGTTATTTAATTTCTATGAACCTCAATGCTTTTGTCTATAAAATGTCCATAACATCATCTAAAGGGAAAGACTGTTATTAGCAGTTAAATGAGATAGCACTTAAAGCACAACACACAGTGCTTAGTACACATTAGGTATCCAAGAAAGAGTAGCTATTCTTACAATCCTATCTTGGGCTTTAATATGGTAACCCTGAGCAAGTCACTTCCTCTTCCCTGGCCCTCATTTTCCTAAAACTGAAAACTTTGGGGAAGATCTTCCGGTTAACTTCTAAGGATGCTATCAAATTCCACCAGGTTAAATGAAGTGTTAAGCAAAAGGGGCCAAAACTCCTACTGAGGAAACTACTACCTAGGTTCCTAGAGCTTCCTAACTGATCCCAAGCATTCTTCCCCAAACCCCAGAAGACTGGCTCTGCAATATAGCCAGGGTCTGGTGTGAGCTATTTATAAAGTCTGTCTTAAAAGGTTACCGGAATATCTTTCTGAAATTGTATATACTGTAATTAGAAGCTACAACCCCCTATTCCATGATGATATCTTGCCGTTTTAACGTCTCTTTTAAATGAACACTATCTTTACAGATGAATTTTTCCTCTTAAAAGCATTTACACCAAAACACTTTTTCAAAGCACATACAAGTTTAAGTACAAGTTTTAATAACTTTTTAAAACCAGCTATGCCTCGTGCATAGCCAGCTGTGGGTGACCCTCGGGTCTAAACAAAGTGGGAATTATAACAGCCCCATGGGTGAAGTCCTCTTGCAGACACACAAACATGCCCAAAGCTTTTACCCTTACTAACAGCTGCTCCCAGGGAGCCAGGAAATTCACCGAATACTAGGTCCACAGAGCCAGCTTCCAAAGAGGGGGAAACCACGGACCTTCACGCAAGGCACAAAACCAGGGTCGCAAGCCGCTATGGCTGCATCGACCGCCCCCCCCCCCCCCCCCCCCCCCCCCCCCCCGCGTTGTCGGGCCTTAGCTTAAAAGTGACGAGCATCTCAGGCAGCAGACATCAGAACCGAGGCGGTGTATTTTTGCCCAAGGCTGGAGGCCTCAAAAATAAGTGTTATTCCAGAGCAGATTCCTTTTCTTCCGGGTCTGTCTGCTCCCTCTGACTCTCTGCCCATAACCACCACCATGCCTCCCCACCTTTCTCCATACTTAAAAAAAAAGAGAAGAAGGAAAAAAAGAAAGTGGCTTATTCCCTCTCCTCTTGCTTTCCCTAGCAGGGCCTGGAAACTGGGGGAAATTGGGATCAAATTAACTGCACATTAAAAAATAAACAGACAAGCCATCAGGAGATGCCCACCCAACAAAAGACGACTCCTGTTCCAAAAAAAAAAAAAAAAAAAAAAAAAAAAGTGGTTGAGCCTGGGTGGAAGAAGGGGAGGGAGGCGAGAAACCAACAAGGATGGAGAGATAGATGTGTGGATTTAGGGCCCCAGGGCCGGCCCATCCTGGCCAAAGTCCAAGTTTTGTTTCAAGAAAATGCTGGGCTGAAGAGAAAAGAAAGAGTTGTAACTTTTAAGGAAGTCCGCAAAAGGCACCGGCTGGGATAAAACGCCGCTGCTCGCCTCCG